TGGTGCAGTTCATTCTCAAAGTTCACAGCAGAAGCACTGTTGTTGTCTAAGGCAGGCCACATATTAGCCATATTTAGTTCAACCAGGGAATTGAATTTAAAAAAAAAAAAATGACCCGATTCCCCCATCTACACACTCAATGTGGATTGGGGAATGCTTCCCTCTAAGCAACTGCGTTTTGACAGTGGGGAGACTTCCCCTCCATCAGATTATAGTGATCAGTGCTGCCAGCTATAGCAGGCAAAACTGATTGATTGGGAAAAACCCAGCAAGGTGGTTGTGCGAAAGTAGATCATCTTCTGCTTAGCCAGCCTGACCATGCATGGATAAAAAATTCAGCTGGCCTCTGCCAAACTGAACGAATTTTGATCAATGTATGGCTGGCTTAAGTCTCTGGGTTTACATTAGGGATTAGACAGTAGCCGAGAGGCTGCTAGGAGGGGAGAAGGGTGGATCTGAGCTGCTGAGAGAATGACTTAAAGGTCTTTAGTACTTTGGCTGTGAATTTTAGAGATGAATTGCTCTCCAGTACCCACAGCTACAGAAGTCCGTAAAGTGACTTGTGTTAAAGTGCTTTTATTCCCTCTTACAAATATTCAAATACTTGAATGTCCATACCCTGGACACAGGTTCATTTAAAATTCCAACTCCAGTAAAACTTAAACACCCTTCTTGCAGTGGGGCTGAGCCTGCACTGTAAGGGTCATAGACTTTTTTCTGTCTAGGGAACAGTAAATGCATAACTTAATCGTACAGTACAATATATGGGAGTTGATTCCTAGACCATGGATTATATAACGCTACTTTCAGGTGTTTGGACACTGCCAAACATTTTGTTATGAATTGCCCCCAGTATACCCATTTAACCCCACCTACTCTATGAAGTTCCAGTTTTTTGCTAGTGTTCTTAAATGTTTTTTCCATTTTTCTTTCATTCTCTGACAGACTGCCTGCCTTTTGCAACTGTACCAGGTCTGTAATGTCTGTATTGGGCACTGGTTCCTGCTTGGGCGCTCTTCTTGCCACTGAGTGAAAGGAGTGTAGTTAGCTGAAGGTTGCTATACAGGTCCAGGGCTGTGGTCCATTTCTGTGGCACCCCCTGAAGACCCCTTTGGGGGTTTGCGTACTGCAATAGGCAAAGCACGAATGGGACCAGCACCGTGGATAAGACAAGACAGGGTTTCCCTGTACCTTTACATACCAGTTCTTGGCTACAGATATACATGTAATAATCCAACAAGATAGGTAGTAGATAGTACACTCTATCCTACAAGACATACCGCACTTCCAAGCACACAAGTAGTTTTTTGAAGGCACAGATTATAGGTTTTTTATGATGATTATTCTTGTCTTCTTTAATCTGTCTTTTTAGGTACTGTTATATAACATTTACCTATTTAAAACTGGTAGTCTTTTCTTCCATCTCACTACCGGAAGTTCCTCTCTGGCTAGTAAATCAGTGCTTATAAGACTCCTAACTGCACACTTCCAGCTGCCATTGCTGTTGACCGCATGAGCTGATCATTTGCCGTCTCACCCGTTGTCTGATATCTCAGAGCCACAGGAACTCTGCTAGCGCCTGAGTTATTCATTTAGCATCCATTCTGTGAGTACCCCACAGGGGAAGATCCTCAACAATGGAGGGCTGCAGACACGTAGGAGCGGGAGTACATGGGACAAACAGCAGAGTTTCTGCTGCAGGCCCTGAGGAAACTGTCACCTCGCTAGACCCCTAAATTGGGTTCCTTTACAGATACCTAGTGCACTTCCATTTGCAGAATATAAGGGGCACGCTGACTTTTTAGTCCGTGGGTGATTTTTTTTCACCACCAGAATCTCTTCATCTTCTTGCCACTTGCTGGTTACTGTGGACTCATTGGCTGAAGCAGAGCTTTCAAGTCTCTGGATAGAATCATCTAGTGCTGCTCATTTCCCACATATTCTTCCAAACACAAAAAAGGCTATTCCTAGAAATTCTTTACTTATTGATCAAGTTGACTGGGCCTTATATGATGATTGGCCCAACTCGGAGAGGATATACCCTCCTCTTTTTTTTTTTTTTTTTTTTTTTTTAATTTTGATGCCTTGTACACTATGGAAGAGGATTTTAAGAAGAGTTGGACTGTTCCAACTGTGAACATGGCCATTCTTGAATTATCAATCTACTGTTTCCAATATTAGTATTCCCTCCTAAGTCAAGTACTTAAAAACAGTAAAGCGCTACTACAATAAAATATAATGAATTTCCATATAGGTACCATACATTACATTTTACATAAATTCTCATTTAAACATATGTGACACCAAACATTAATTCCAACTCCATGATTATGCAAATAAACCAACTTTCTTACTTTTGTCACTAACTTTTACTGACATTTTAAGTCCAATTAAAAAAATTAATCCATAATTCTTAAGTTCATTGTATCAGATTCCGTGTTCCACCCAAAAAGTGTAGTGCTCCACCACCAGTGGGAATATTTTCTCACATGGCCAGTGGACTTATTTAGATGTACAGGTCACAATGCCCTTTATCCAGTCATCTGGTAATGCCTCCGGCATCAGTAACTTCAATAGTGACTTAAAGGGGAGCTGCCTAACCATTACCTAGCAGGTCCCCCTTTAAATCAAAGGCACCCTTCCACTTCTCTAAATGTAATTAGGAAAGAAGAGGCCTCCAATAGTGCAGTAGTTTTAGTAATGTCTCAGAATATAAAACCCCAATACAGCTCACTCACATAATGAATTTGAGATACTCATTACTAGCATTGAAAAATACATACACTTCCGGTTAGGGCTCTGTACCGAAAGTGATATCACCAAGCTCTGCCCTACGTATTACATCACTTATCCACATGACTTCCTCAGGGACCTTAGCATCCCCTCTCAAGGTCATGGGATCTCTACTCCTTACTATTGAGGATAGCCTGATTACATGGATTCCCTTTTCTACACAGGCCTGACCTACAACCATTAGACTCTGCCCTTAGTTTTGATATGCCCTCTCTCCCTGTATCAGAGTCAAGGATTACCAGATTACCTATTTTACGAGGAGCCGAGAGGTCCTTCTGCTCTCATGTCCTCAAAAGGAACTGGCCTTGACATTGGTCGACTTCTTTGCTGATCTAGTACTAGAAAGGTTACAGGCCCTTGTTCTCTTAAAAAAAACAAAGTGGCAGTTGACTAGTGCAAACCCGCCTAAAGATGGTTAATTAAATCCTATGCGGAGTAATTTATTTATTTTATTTATTTCAGGTACTTATATAGCGCCATCAATTTACGCAGCGCTTTACATATATATTGTACATTCACATCAGTCCCTAACCCTCAAGGGGTGTACAATCTAAGGTCCTTAACTCGCATTCATACATACACATACTAGGGCCAATTTAGACAGGAGCCAATTAACCTACCAGTTTGTCTTTGGAGTATGGGAGGAAAACCGGGTACCTGGAGGAAACCCACGCAGGCACAGGGAGAACATGCAAACTCCAGGCAGGTGGTGCTGTGGTTGGGATTTGAACCGGCGACCCTAGTACTGCCAGGCAGAAGTGCTAACCACTTAGCCACCGTGCTGCCCCCAGTAATATATGAGTAATATATCACTACATTAGTGAATGCAATAATGAATTTATTAGATCACATGGATCATGAAAAAGGTGGACATAGACATGGTGAACATGTTAAAATCAAAGAATTAAAATAAAAAACCGTTCGGCGTCACCATGTCTATGTCCACCTTTTTCATGATCCATGCGATCTAATAAATTCATTATTGCATTCACTAATGTAGTGATATATTACTCCGCATAGGATTTCATTAACCATCTTTAGGCGGGTTTGCACTAGTCAACTGCCACTTTGTTTCTCCAAGTATTACCGGATTTACAATCCACACTTCACTGTAAGTGAGTCGGAGATATTACAAGGATATAGAACTACATCTATTAGTATGGCAATCTTTTCTTATTTTTATGCCCTTGTTCTCTTAACCTCGTTATGTGCTGGTTTACCCTCACATATGCGGCCCGTGGGTACCTTGGCACTTGTCTGCCCATCTCACCATACATATTTAAGGATGTGCCTTCCCTACAGACTCTCACCAAGATACCTTCCAGCAGTCTAAATTCCTTGATATTCCCCGATTTAGTCACATTCCAACCTCTGGGTTGGGTGCCCCACTCTTTTCTGGGGCATGCAGATGGTTTCCCCCACACTCTACAACTTGTCATGTGAGGTTGTTCTCACCTAGTGTGATAACAGGGAACCCCATTCTAAAACCTGTTCCTATTTATCATGTTGCAACTTCTGTTTGGAATCTAAAAAAAAAAAAAAAAATCTAGCCGTTGCGATCTTCTATGCCAATCTATGGCCTCCACCAGGTGCTCTTTCCCGTACAATGCCCTCTCTTTGTGCTCAGATGGTTAACTTAGGGGTTATATGGGTACACTGGGGGGGTTTCTATCAAAGCTTTTGGCAGTGTCCTGTAATCTGAAAGTTGAGGCATGTAACCCATGGTCTGAAAATTAACTCTTTTACCGTTCTCTAAGATGTGGACTTGACAGGTATGTTAAAATTTCTATTTTTACTAAAACTGATCCTCTTCTCCCCCGCTGGCTGGAGCTCCACTACGCTCTGGCAGTGGACTGTTCCTTGGTGTTTCTCCATCCAATGCAGGACCCTGCATCCGCCTTGATGTCCGAGGACTTTAGACTGCTGGAATGTAGGGGAGAAGAAGCTGCAGGAACCGGTCGGGTAGTAAAAGCACTTTTCCAAATCCCCTAGACCGAAATGAGTCGTTACCCTTGCAGTGTGGGTGCAGCCCCACTTTAAGGCAGGAGTTTTAGTTTTCTTGGAGTTCAGCTTTAAGGCTTCTGCCCCAATTGTCTGCTTAAATATGTGCTTTCTTCACCTCTGTTGTCCATGCTGCTATCTGCTTACTTCTACTTCAGTCTCTTCTCTACCACTGTCTTGTTTCTTTCTCTTCTGCCCATCTGCAGTTGCTGTACCGGACCCCCAGCCCATTCCGATTGGAGATTAGGTAGGACATAGTTTGATGGTTTGAATAAAAAAAGTTCACATGCTGGTCATTATTAAAGAGCCTCGAAACTTCACACTTCTCCCATTATTTTAACCCATTATATATTGTCTGTGTATATACATTTAGAATATGTGTACAGCCTTAGGCTGGAGATGGGAATGGCAATTTTTCAAAAGATTCAATGAAAATTTTAAAGACAATAGAGACAATAATAGCAATGATGTTCCAATATGTTGGGTAGACATTCTCTGCAGATGAATTCTTTTTGAGAATTGCTATCAATACAGAGCAGATTGTTTGTTTGGAGTACGAGGCAGATATCTGTAGTTGTTTAAAGCGCAAATGTCTGGAAACCGTAATAAATGTTAAGTCGCATAAAATGATTAACAGGATATTAATAGCTATTGATCAATAACTTCTAGACATTCCAATATCACATTTTCATGTACTTGCCATTGAATCTTCTTGAAATCGGCCCATATATGTCAGGCTTACAGTTTTAAAAGATGTGGAAAAGGTTTCTTTTTGATTTGCTGGAATGTCTTTTATTGTGTGATGCTCATGTTTCGATTACAGACTATTACACATGTGCAGAACGGAAAAATTGGTTTAGTTTCGGATAGATTCGTTACTAATTTTTGTTTTGTTGCATTCGTAACAAAATGTGTTTAGATTCGTTTGCAACTGGATTTGAATTTTTCCAATTGATTTGAAGTATTCTAATCAAATTTGAATCAAAGATATCGAATAGATTTAAATTCACTGTGAAGAATAGCTGGTTATAGTCTATTCAAAATTCGAATTTCGGCAGATGGTTATATTGTTTCTGTTTTATTCTATTTTTTTCTATTCTACTGTTTTCTAATCTATTATTTTCTATTCTATTCTGTTCTGTTTTACTCTATCCCTACATTTTCCATTCTATTTTATTGGATTCTTTTATTTTCTATTCTGTTTTACTATATTCTATTCTTTTTGAAATGCAAATTTTGGAAGATGGCTGTATTTATTGTATTCTATTTTTTTCTATTCTATTCTTTTATTTTCCATTCTATTCTATGCTAATCTATTCTTTTCTATTCTATTCCTTTATTTTCCATTTTTATTACATTTTATTACTTTTTTTATTTTCTATTCTGTTCTGTTTTACGCTCTATTTTTTTTTTTTTTTTTTTATAATCCGTTCTATTATTTTCGAAATTCATATTTCGGAAGATGGCTATATTCTGACACTCAAATAGTGTAAACAATGCAGCACTATAAATCAAGAAATGTGCAAAAAAAAAAAGTGATCATTAAAAAAATAAAATCAACCATATAACAATTTTGATCCATAGAAGGACGCAGGTTTTTATTTTAATTCTATATTCTGACTCTAATACACACAGTCTTTGAAGGAAATCGGCAATAGTCAGCAATATGTATATAGTTCCAATTTGTTTTCGAATGTGATTTAGTTTTTGAATTTTGGTCGAAATTTTTTTTTTATTTCAGATTCGTTTTAATTCGCAAATTCAGGTACATCAGAATTTCTGACTAACGGAAATTTCGATTCAGAGCTAAATGAACTGCACTTGTCTATAGACTCTATTTTGCATTTCTGTGTTCATCAGGTCACGCTGTAGTGAATAGAATGGGCCTTATGAATGAGAGATCCTTTATTGTATGTTGCCTCTAGCAACCAATCAGATCCTTCCTTTACATGTTTCTAGGCTAGCTTACAAAATAAAAGGGAGAGTCTTATTGGCTGTGGTGGTTCTTGGTCCACTTTCATACAAAGGCTCAGTATCTAGGTTTGTCGAATTGGTGTTTCTTTCTTTTTTTTGAAAGGTTTGTATTGTTTTCTCTTACCCAGCTCAAAGCATTTTATGCTGTTATTTGCTTGTCAATTCTGCATCTCATTGATTTCTTTCTGTCTGGTTTATATATAGTGTCTTTTTCCTTAGATGGCTGTTACCCTGGGGTTCCTGTGCAGAAGAGGAGGCATCCATACCACGTGTCGGACACTTGTATCTCTCTTCAGGAGGTGGGAGACAGACAAGGTCGGCTGGGTGCTCAAGATGTGTGATGTCTCTTCTCTCTAAGTCTTGCTGCTTGCCCCATAGACACCTCTCACAGAGAGGCTCCCACGCCCATTAAGTCGCTCAGGACTCACCAATGACTACCCCGTGCCAGCTTTCATCTCCTACTTTGTTTCACGCTCCAGCTTTAAGCAGGTCGACATTTTCACCCACTGCCTTTGCAGGACGGTGGTTCCTGGCCACTTCATGTTTTGTGTTTGAACCCTGGACTAGTGAAGCCTGGCACTGGCAATGCCGAAACATGCACTACATTATATAAGCTGTGACATTGCTGAATCTGTTCCAGTAGAGATCGGTGGCCATTGTTCATTGAAAGGTGTATGGTGAATATCTCCACGCTAATACAGCGCCACCTGCTGTACACTCAGTAAATAGCAGTGCCTGTCATTGCTCGCTACTGTAAAGGGTGGCACTGGAGTTATCAACTGCTGTGCAGCTTAATGCAGCAGCCTAATGTCCATGGGGGGGGGGGGGGGGGGGGGGGTGAAGGAATTAAGAGAGAAGAATGATTTACTTAAAGCGAAACTACAGTTTTTATGGAAACCCACTTTTAGATTCACTAATTTCAGCAATTTTTATTGCACATCCTTACTTTTTTTTGTTCTTTAGCATCAGATATGCTGTGCCAGTGCACTTGCTCACATCTTTCTAAATGAACTCTAAGCGGAAAATTTTTACTTTGATTTAGCCCTGGTTCACATCTATGTGGCCTTGTGGGCCACGTTTTGCGCGGGCACAAGAGCCCATTCATTTGAATGGACTCCTATGCCCCGTGACACACAGGGAAAAAGTCTCTGCACTTAGGGAACCTCGGTTCCTAGTACGGTTGCGTTTTCCAGTGCAGGCGGCGTGCCATTAGCGTTAATGTCACCTGCCCGCGGGTCCTCATTTTTCTGTGCGGCTGCTCGGATTTTTGTGCAGATCCGCAGCCGCACCACATATATGAACCAAGCATAAATCCCTTGATTTTGCTCAGTTTTGTAATAATGATCATTGCATCCCAGAGTTCCTGTAGGCGTACAGCATCATGTATATGTATCTCACCAAAGATGATGTTTTCTACAGCAGTTGACCTAAGGACATGACAAGTGGTACCTAACTGACGTCGGGTTCTGTGCAGCCTTCTGGGAAAGGCATTGAACCAGTAACAGAAGGATGAATAGAAGCGGCTACATTTAACATGAACATGGCTACATTTTAATTAATTTATTTTTTATTGTTTTGCTGAACTGGAGTTTTCCTTTAATCATATGACTTGAGCGTAGATTGGCTGATCCAGTGTTGTTGATATGAGTGAGATTCACGGATTGTGACATAAGGCCAGAAATCTGAGCGGAGCCATGGATATTAGGAGCATGGGCCTTTTCACACGTTGTGTATGGTCTAGGAGTGCCAGTACTTTCATGTGAAGAGCATAGCACTGCTAGTACGCCCATATTATACCATTCGAGTCCGGTCACATCAAATCTGACTTTGAAATTGTGCGACTTGCAGTGAAGTCGCACGATTTCAAAGTCGTGTGAGATGCCGATTTCAGGTGCGATTTGCAAGACATCTGGCACAGATGTCTATGCACATTGCACCAAACGTAGTGCGTGTACTACTTTAGAAATCTGTGCATTTCTAGCGAAGTCAGAACCGCACCGATTTGACCGCTGTAAATGCAGACAATAAGGTGCGACTTGGCATACGATTTGCAAGTCGCATGGCATGCAAATCACATGCCAAGTCGCATCCAGTGCGACCGGGGTGTTGTTTTTTTTCTTCTCTGATCTGAACCCATTCTGCATCAAATCCATCAACTGGATCATTAATAGAAATTGGAGCCAAGGAACAAACGCCATTATCAGTAGCAAGCAATGTTGGCTTTTATGTTCTGGTCTGATCTGGCTGTTAGGTCCTGATTACCTTTTGTGTTCACGTCAGTGAACCACAATGACATGGTGATTTTTTTTGTATTCTTTTTGGCAGTAAGGGCTCATGTACACGGGGCATTTGGAAAACTCTTCTGAACGATGGAAACTGACTGCTGGAAAACGTAGGTTAAAAACGTCAGTTTAGCTGTGTTTGCGTTTAGAAGTGTTTTTTTTAAAAGATAACCTCAGGAGACCTTCCAAAATGTCCAGAATGCACTGAAAAATAGTAAAAAATTAACTATTTCAGACATTTTGAGAGAAATAGAGAGAGCAGAAGCAGAGAGAGCAGTATTTGTTGAGATGACCTGTCTTTTCTGGTTGTATTCACTATGGATCCCATCAAGAGCATAATGCGGCATGTTCTACCATTTTTTCCTTCACGCAAAACCTGGAACTGACTGCGCTGGTGTACCGGGTCCATTTGAATACACAGAAAATGCTTTGCATGCATTTCTGATAATGAAAAAAGGCTCTGGACAATGAACAGTTAAACGCTTCTAAATGCAAACGCTTGTAATCGTGTTTAAAAGCGTTTCCAAGCGTTTGAAACAACGGTAAAAATCTACTTCTGAACACAAGTTTGGTGCATTCAAAAAAACGACTATAAACTCAACTGCCTGTAAACGACTATGTGCACATGGACACATAGGAAAACATTAGGGAGAGTTCAGGGGCTGCTGAGAAAAATGCTGAACAGCTCCTGAACGTCAATTTAGGAGGTGCAGTGTACATGAGCCCTACTAGCCACGTTTCATGTGAAATGTGCCTGCTAGTTTTGCCAACATGGGGCTTTTTTTTATCTGAGCCCTGCTTGTGAGATCTTCACTTCAAAATAGTCCCAGCCTACTGCACATGTGTTTGGCAATCCTCATTCAATCCATGTTTGTATGCCAAAAGAAGAGCCATTCGCCAAGTACAGCTTCTCTAGAAGTGTAGTTGTCCTTTAAAGCCAAGATGAAGCGCTTTGTGTAGAGTGCTTAGATACAATCAATGTGTATAGGAA